ATCTTACTAGTGGACGTTAAATCTCGAGAGTTCTCGTCACCAACACGTTTTCGAGAAGGCTCGTGACTAATACAACGCTTTTTGTTGGCTGTAATATGATATTTTACGAGATGTTGACGCTGTATCTTCAACTTCAAGTTACTACCTCGCTCAGAGTGATGATCACCTCGCCTTTCGTGTGTCCTCCGTGATGAATGCTCCGCTCTTCGTTTTGACTTTTGACTTACTCTTCCAAAAGAAATGGAGCGCCTATGGTTACTTTGACAACTCTCATGCGAAATATGATGTGGACGATCTTAAGCAAAAAGTTAAACGCCATAAAAGGAAAAAAGGTGCAAACTTACGTAGAGCTACAGAATGCCTATGGTCGGCATGCCTTCGAGACTCTTCCTTCTCAGAGACTTTATCGCTACCAACTGAATGTCCTAGAAAAAAAATAGAGAAGAATGAAAGATTGTTTTGTTCAGGATCACTTGTTATTCGCCATAAATCACAACCTTTTCGTTCTTCCTTTGTTGAGCTATTCGAATGAGAAGAGGAGTTTGATTTGAATGTAGAATGATGTCTAGTTGAGTCTACAAAATAAAAATTTGGATTGGCAAACATCACAGAATACGAAGACAGCAAATAAAACCTATTTTTGAACATTTCTACTCAAAATTCCAACTATTTTCAAGTGAGGGAATATGTCGACGAAAACAGAGGAAAGAGTATGAGAGACGAGAACAAAAAACATATGGATAAATGAAAGCAAAAAAAGCATACCGTGTGCAAAGTGGTCATCTTTCTCACTCCTTGGTCGTTTGTGGTCAGCTTCAGATTTCTTCTTCTCGCTCCTATCATCAAGTCCTGTTCTTTCCGATTTCTGAGCCAATGGAGGATCACTCAGTAATTTTTCAGGTTTCTTCGTTGATTTTGACTCCAATATTCTTCCGACTGTGATGTCTTGTAAATGACTAACACTTTCAAGTCGATTTTCTTTCTCCAAGGTCTCTTTAAAGATCGCATTAGATTTCTCAGATGAAGCGGAATGCGGCTGACTGAGAGTCCTTTCTGGGCTTCGAAAGTGTCGATGTGAAGTAACTCCTTTGAATTCAAAATGATTTTTTTCGTCAATATCATGCCCCTTTGAATTTTTTTGCATTTTTTCATCCTGCTTGTCCTTCGAAGTATTCTCTCGATGTGAGTTTGGCTTTTCCTCCCTGCTCCTTTTATCAGTCGGTTTTTCATCACTGCTCTTTTTGTCAATCTGGTCGTTTACTTCCACACGGTAGGACCTATCTATGGTTTTATGCTCTGTACTTCCTTTTCCTGCCGAACTTCTTATTGGGCTGTGCCGTCTAAGTGATAACTGCTTTTTGTCAATCTCCAGGCTGCTGCCATGATGTTGTGAAGAGGTGGAAGGGAATTCGTAGTGCCCGCAATTTGCAGAATGCTGAGTTTGTTTTCTCGAGATGTCATGATTCTGATCTCCGCCCAGGAGTCGTGTGCTTATTACAATTCTTTCTCTTTTTGCTCTTACTTCTTCCTGAACCAAACGAGGCAGAAGACTACCAGAAGCGGTCAGGTCTTCCTGCTTCTTATCGGTTGTGGGAACCTGAAAAGAGGCTGCTGCAATGTTCTACAACAACGCGTCTAACATCAAGTTGACTGAGAGTCTAAAAAAATCACCACTGTGGGAAGGCCGTCAGAGTTCATATCGAGATGATTCGCATTCAGCCAGTGATTCATTTGATCCAAAGTGTTGAACTCAATCTCAAGTGAAAGTCGTCCTCGAAAAACCTTAATTTGAATAATGTCAGGAGGAAGAAGATACATATCACATATTAAATGCAGAGCAAAAAGAGGTTTGATCGTTGTAGCGCAGAATCGGGTGTCACTCAAGTGGAGGTGCAATAGAAACACCATTAATAGTTATTTCAACCAGATCGCATTTAAGATTATCTCAAAGGCGACAACCTCAGATGGGTTACGAAAAGGAAAGATTACTTTGATGTACTTTGGAAAAACTTGATGCTCCTTTCTTGGTTGGAAATGAAACAAACAAGCTGGACACTCGATGAGCCCACTTGATTCCAATCTAAACAACGGAAGCTTCAATAAAGAAATCTTAGCGAAGTCAGGACATAAAAATAGGAATAGAGCGTCAAAAAGCACTTACTTTTGCTTTAATGCAATGTTTTCCTGCTTTAAGGTATTGATCTCATTTCGAGCTGTGATAATTAACTTCCGCATATTGCTGGCATATATTCGCAACTTTTCTTCAAATCCATTCTTTTCCTGAACGACGTTTCAGTGGACAACTAACATTTACACCTCAATGGAACACATATTCAAAAAAATTACAGAGTGTAAGAACCAAACTTACAATGGCACTGCTTGTCGACCCACCGATATTCTGATTGAAACTGTCCTTTCTGTCGTGAGAAGGGGATAACTTCTTCTTCCGAGGCTTTACTGGACTTCCTTAGAAAAAAAAGGTTAAGAGATAGCTTACAAGAAACTTCTGCTAATAACACTGAAAGCAGAGCAAGTAGTAGTGCTATATGATTTGAGCATAAAGAGAACTATTCAGTAAAAAACGGAAAATGTGAAACTGAAAGAGGATTGATCAGGGGCGAAAATTTAAAAGCAAGTTGACCCGCTCATAAACAAGTTCACAGCGTTTGCAAAAAAAATATTTTCAAATCGCAGATTAGTGCAGGGCAGAAATTCGAACCGCGCTCGCGACGCGGTTTCATATGCTCCAAGCAAATATTCCTTGCCTAAGACATGAATCTTGTACATCAGGGTATTAAGAGCAGCGGCATTGATATGGCGGGGAAACATGTCTACGTTTGGAAGGGGTCAAAACGTGCTACAAGCACTTAAAATCGTAGTAAAAGTTCAAGAATCGTGACAATCCACGCTTACTTTCGCATTGAGCGCAAGCTCAGCTGCCTACGAGTCGTAAGCCGTTAGGATCAGCCAGAATCAAATATTGCTTTCTCTACTGGGAAAATGAGCTTTATTAAACCTTTTTTTTTGTTTTAGCATTTTTCTTTTGTCTCAGGTGCCAGGAGGAGCCGAGAAAGAGGCGAATCATAAGTTTGGTTACATTTCATTCATTCAAAGCGTTTTTTTTCTCATAAATGTCAAATTATAAACTGTTAGGTTCATAGCATAGTAACTTCTCAGTTGGATTTGATTGAGAATCTTCTTTTTACTCTCCCAAATCTATTTTACCACCTTCGCATATTGTTTAACTTAGTTTCTTTCCCTGGGAGGTGTTTACGGATTTGGATCAGTCCCTTCGCTTTTTAAATTAGCCCCTTATGTTGTTAAGAACATGCACAAAGTTCATGCATCAATTGCATGCTTAAGACGGGGCGACTGTTAGTCATTTCAACAATGTATTTTGGAAAAGAAAACGCTTGGATGCATGATTCAAATTGCTCTTCTCCTAGTGGCACTTGAAATAAAAAGAAAACTGGAGAAGCAAGAATGAAATATAAGAAAATATTTTCTAAAGAAATGATACGGTTTTTATTTGGTTCGAGCTCAAACCGCTTATCATTTTTAAGCAGCTGACCTAAGGCGCGAAAAGAGGGTGAGCGTGGACTCAACATCCTTGAAAGCCCTTTAACGGAGTGAACAGCTAACATGTTCAATATGCTGCGGTATAGAGATAAAATATCGATAGACACGTAAGTTTACGCAAAAGCGGCCTCGCTTCTTGGTTACCTGCACT